AAGTTGAGAGCTAGTTTAGTAGCTTCTTTCTATTTTTCTATGATTTCGAAATTTCCTATAGTTAGTGTGTATTATGTTTAAAATAAGGAATGTGTGATTTCCATCTCCCTTTAAATTCATCCATGCCTACATTCATCCAAGTATATTTTTAGAGAATACTCATTTCTTTGGCTGATAAATGTTCCAAGAAAGACTTTGTGATCAAACAAATTTGGGGGAAAAGCTCTGTTAACCAGTTATCATAGCTATTTTTCTTGTTTCCAATTTTTATTCACTAAAATCAGAATTCTCAAAGCTTTAAACGTACTTTTGTATCCTAAGGAGCCCTGTGGCACTGTTAACATATTAATATATGTTATTTCAGGCTCTTTAATGTGAATATATAGGTATTTGATCAGATGCTTATATACACAATTACATCTTGATGTTTTTATATTATGTCATGCTTGGAATGTAAATAAATATTACTTCAAAATAGGGTATGTAATATGGATTGCGTTTAATAGTTAATGAAGTTGTATGTCATATTTATATCTATTTCCAGTTAATTCTTTGACTAACAGCTTTGTGCATAAAACTTAGCCTGCATTTCTGATTTTTTTTTCTGTAGAACAATGTCCTAGAAGTGACATTTCTGAACCCATGTGTACAAACATTGGAAATGCTCATTATGCACATGGTTGTGTCCTTCCCGTTCATTAGTATTTCTATTAAATGAATGAATATATGTAACACTTTTAAAAGCATGCCTTCTATGTAAATGCTAATTGATAGAGCCACACTTACTCATGATTCCTATTTATGTAACTAATATGCTGAGTGCCGCCTATAAGAAGGGCACTTCACTAGAAAGGTCGAACCATGTCCAGCTGTGAATGTGAGTATCAGTTTCAAGGATTCCTTCTTGCATTGTGTACCATTATTTTTCGAGACCTTGCTAGTTTTTAGTGAACAATTGTATTCCATTGACTCTTGATATTTGTTAATAACAAAAGCTAGCAACGTTTTCATGTAATTATGGCTGAACAGCAATAGCTAACCCTATGTATATCCCTCCTTAATTTATAGCTGCCACGATTTTCTGTCTATTGCTCATCCTAACTGCCCTTCTCACCTTTGTCCTCCCTCCGGTACTTCCTGTGAGTTGTTCATTTATTCACACATAAAATATCTGTTAAGGGCCCGTGTGTGGGCAGCATGCATGGCGCAGTCTCTGAAGAGATCACAGTGAACTGGCCTGTCATGGTCCCTGCGCTTCATGGCACTTGCTGTCTGACAGAGAGGAGAGGTGCTGAGCCCGGTGCCTTTCTTACGACAAGAGAGAAGTACAGGGTACTTGGGGGCCTGACTCATGACCGGGCTCCAGATGACCGCAAATGAACAGAGAAAAGGATAGGGCGGAAGGGGGTTAGGGCTGCAGATGAGGAGAGTGTTTCATTAACAGGTGCAACAAACGTGAAGGCCCCAAAGTGGGAAAGAGTATGACGCATTCGAGGCAATGAAAGCAGTCTGGTTTACACTGAGTAAGAGAAGGAGGGCCACAGAGGCCCGGGATGAGTCTAGGGGAGGCAACGGGGTCAGAGCAGAACTGGCCTCACACCTGACTTCTCTCCCACGTGTGCATTAGATGTAAGCACATGTTATATCAAAACATAGATGGCTCTTACTCATTCCTCCTCTCTGGGCCAAGAATCTATGTCAATGTCATTGCTACCAAAGACCATGTGTGGCTTCAGAGGGGGTGAGCCTTTCCCAAGATTCAGCCACAACTTGACTGAACCTAACAACAGCATATTTACCATAAGAAGATTTTATGAAAGTTAATTGAGATCTTATGTGTACTTTTCCAATAAGGTGCATTCAGTAAACATTATTCTTTTTTTTATAAATCTAGCCACAGGGCACACTCCAAATCATGTTCTTTTTGTCTCAATAAAACATCTTTCATGATTCTGACACATCCTTTTTGCTGCCCATTGAGACCTTTAGAATAAAAGGGGATGAAAGGACTAAAGGGTAAAGGGTGGATTGCCCCCTAAGCACCTGTGTAGAGCTGAGATTTGGGACTGAGAGGAAGTGTATACTGGTGCTATTGGGGCATAAGAATGAATATTTAGGGCAACTGGATGTGTACTATAAGTCTTGTTTCCTTGTCCCTTAACTGCCCTTTCAGTGGCTTATTCTGAGGCCCTGCCCCAGCCTGTGACCTTGAGGAAGGCCCTTTTCACATCCTTGTTCCGGCGGCTGTAGATAATGGGGTTGAGAAAGGCAGAAATGACGTTGTAGAACAGAGCCAGCTTCTTGTCCTCCTCTGGAGAGGCCTCGGAGCCAGGTCTCATGTACATGACCATGGCTGGCACACAGAACATGGTGACCACAGTGATATGGGAAGCACAGGTAGAGAAAGCTTTGAGCCGCCCCTGGGCCGAACGAATCTTTAAGATGGCCATGAAGATATTGATGTAGATGCCAAGTATGAGAGAGAGTGGGATCAGGATGACACTAAAGCCAAGAATAAAGTCAACGTGGTCATTGAGTGAGGTGTCCGCACAGGCCAGCTTCAGCACTGCAGGGACTTCACAGAAGAAGTGGTTGATCTGGTTGGGGCCACAGTAGGGTAGGTGCATGGCAAAGAAAGTGTAGACAAGGGCAGCGATGACACCCCAGAGGCCACAGAAGATTACCATTATCCCACATAGACATGGACTCATGATGACCTTGTACCTAAGTGGGTGGCAGATAGCCACATACCTGTCTATAGACATGATGGCAAAGCGCCAGGACTCGGTGATGCCTAGCACCAAGAAAATATACATTTGGGTCACACACCTGGCAAAAGAGATTGTCTTCTTCCGGCTGACCAGATGTGCTGACATCTGGGGAACTGTCGTTGTGGTGTATCCCAGATCCAACATGGAAAGAGTGCCAATAAAGAAGTACATGGGTGTGTGGAGGTGCGAGTCTAGGCAGATAAGGATGGTGATGAAGCCATTTCCCAGGATAATTAGTAGGTAGGTGATCAGGAAGGCAGAGAAGAGCAGAGGACTGGTCGTGGAGCTGAGAGAGAAACCCAGAAGGAGGAATTCAGTCACAGAGGATTGGTTGGGCTCTTGCATTGTGTTCTACATCTGCAAAAGAAAGGCATCAATTTAGACAAGGGACTTCCTAACCTATATCCCAGGGAAGGGGTTGTTGACAGGACCGAGACCATGTTCAATGTCCAGTTTTGAGAAAAGGCCACGATGCCCGCAATCAAGACTGTCCGTGTTACCTGTGCTGTGCACCTGTCACACTGCCCGGGACATCTGCAAAGAGGAAAGGGCTTCCACATCTAGTCCGGGCTTTTCTCTAGTACTTTCCCATTCAGCCTCAGTCTCCTCAGTTGTCAAATGAAATCATTCGACTCCCTGGTTTCTAGCTCTCCTCAATAAGGCGTTTGACTCTTTGGTCATGCATATCAGAGTATTGACTCTGTGAAAGCTGGCAAATTTCAGGAGCCTGGTACCATCAAAGATTTCACTTGGTTCTGTTAAAAACATCAGTCTACTTTTGCACTCAGCTCAAGACAGTTCTTTGACTATTCGCCTATCCATCGCAGACTTTGGTGAATTAAAAGGAGCACTACATTATAAATCCTGGCTCTACAGTTTACTGAGTGAATGATCTTACGCAAACCCTCTACTCTTCCCCAATCCTTTTGAGCTGCTCTCTCAAATATGAAATAAGAGTGATTGTCTATTCTATTATAGTAAATATAGCTAGGTTAAAATGTAACACCTTATTTGATCCCCCTTTTGACCTACTTAAATTTTGTGTCAGTTTCTGTTTTAAGGGAAGGGGAAATACACGTAGATTAAGCTTCCTGTGAATTCCCTCTGAACATAAACCAGGGGTGTGATAGCCTGGCTCTGGTGCAGAGTTCATTGTGCAGTGGACTATGGCAGATGTAGCTAGGTTAACATTTAACTCCTTATCATTTGATCTCCTTTTGGACCCATTTTAAAGTCGTTCTAGTTTGTAACGTTTTTTGCTTTCTTTCTGATTGAGGGTTTTCTCTATTTTACACTCTGTTATTGTCGTTAGATTTTTGTTTGTATGGCTTTGTGTGATTTTCAGTGGATGAAATCCAGGATGGGGGAATCTATAGAGGTGGTCACTGGATAAAGGGTTGCTTCGGGGTCTGGCAGGGGAGGTTGGGGGAAAATAGGGAGCTTAAAACAAGGAGTAGAAGAAAGAAGAAAATGCTCTAAAATCGATTGTGGTGATGATTGTACAAGTCTTCTTGATATGATTGAACTTTTAAATTGTCTGATATGTGGACTATGTCCCAACAAGACTATTTTTAGGAGAATGAGTGCCTATTTGCTGTAGGTTTGCTTCAAGGACAGAGTGATGTTTGGGCATAAAAAGCATCACGTGAAGGTTTCACGTGTGTTCGATGTTCAATAAGGGTTGCATTTCTGGATGGCTCTCCCTACTGAAGTGAAGGTTCAGGTCCAAGCTGTGCAAGAAAACATCTGCAGAGGTCACTCCATTGTATTTGATGCCCACAATCAATCTTCATTCTCCCAGATGTCTACCTCTTGCTGTTTATTTCCATTTGAGTCAGTGTTCTGTTCCCTCTTTTTATTAACTTCCTCTGATTCTTAGGTCTTTCTCAACCTCCTTGAACCTCAGTTTCTTTGTCAAGAGCAAGGAAAGAACGTGCTGTTGAAGAGATGTTATAAACACTGTATATTTCAGTTCTCAGAATATAAGAACAATTTTGATGCTGACAATATGATTCCTGACCTGGTACCACTTACCTGATCCTAACTCCTTGCGCTCCAGCCCCCTTGCTCTCCTTTGGATAATGCTGAGTGTCCCTTCACATATAAAATTCTACATGCAATGCGTTAGATAGTTTCTGACTTCAGCTCAAAGGACCGCACACAGTGTGAACTTCATGTGTCGGGCACTTTGCCAGGATCATCACAGACCTTATCAGAGAGCTGGCAGATCATTGTTTTTGTTATATCCCTCTCTCTCACCAAAATGCCCTTATAAGGCACTTTGTCTTCCTCAGTTGGCCTCAATCTCTTCATTTGTATAATGGATAATAGGACCCCTGGTGGCATAGGGGTTACGTATTGGGATGCTAAGTGCAAAGGCAGCCATTTGAAACCTCTGGGCAATCCGTGGGAGAAAGCTGAGGTTCTCTCTCCCATCAAGAGTTACAATCTCAGAAACTCACAGGAACAGTTCTACTCTGTCCAATAGGGCCACTATGAGTCAGAATCGCCTTGAAGGTCGTGAATTTGAGCTTACAGTGGATAATATTGGGCCACATGGCTCAACGCTCTGTCCTTACAGAGTCATCCTGAGACTCAAGGAGCACAGGCATGTCCAGGTGCGGACAGAGTGGAAAGGGCATCCCAGTTAAACACAGCTGGTTCTGTTTGAGTCCCAGCTCTGACTTGACCGTCGATTGTGACCTTGGGCTAAGAGCTCACTTCTCTAGGCTCATGTCGCCTCATCTACAAAGACAAAAGGGGAGGTGGGGGGAAATAAAAATACTTATCTTGCTAGCCACATCCTTCCTAAGAGGAAGCAGCCTGAAGTTGTGAGACTATTCTAGCCTTTCATTTTTGACACATAACCAGTCATGGGACTTACTCTTTAAGAGTCTTATGGTAAAGAGTGTTTAGCTAGTTGAACTGTAAGGGTAAACTGAGGACCATTGGAATGGTGAAACCTGCAGTTTCGGACCAGGATGTCGATGAGGAAGTCGGCCACCCTAAATCAAGGATAAGTCCCTTGTATCCTTCCCTCCTTCACCCCTCCTGAAGGCATGCAAACAAAGTAGTTGGGGGGAAATTGCCCAAATGTCAGGATGGGAACCAGAAATCCCGTGTGAGAGAGGAAGAAACAACACATTACCTATCAAGCCGAGTCTGATCTCTGTGCCTCCACTTGGTCAAATATATCGAATTCCGATTTGAGACTGTGCCTCAAGGATGACTCTGTGAGGCTAGAGCATTATCTCCATCCCAGAGATGGGAAAGCTGAGGCTTAAAGAAGGAATCATGGGAGAAACTCATTCTTCAGCAACAATAATGTTCTCCATATGCAGCAAAACCATAGCTAACCAGAACACAAGCAATCTAATTCTTCAGTTTCCGGAAATGCTCTCTCTCCTTGATTCTTAGGAGGGGCAAAGAGGCTTGTGTTAGATTGAATTTAAGATAGAGTCCCTCACTCAACACAAAAGACAGCAGAAGCCCCACAACAAGAGGCCTCCCCGCCATCAAGTCTGCGATGACTCCCGGCGACCCTATGGGGCAGGATGGAACTGCCCCTGAGCACTTCAGAGACTTCACGGTAACAGGAAAATCTCATCTTTCTCCCGCAGAGTGGCTGGTGATTTCGAACTGCCGACTTTGTGGTGACCAGCCCAACATGTAACCACTACACCACCAGGGCTCCTCTGTGGAGGAGCAAACAGTTAATATACTTCATACTTCACTGCTAACTGAGAGATTGGAGTTTCCAGTTTGGTCTCAGTCGCACTTCTGAAAAAATCAACCATTGAAACCCGCATGGAGAACAGTTCTAATTTCACACCCATGGGGTGTCCAGGAGTGAAGATGACCAGATGGAACTAGAGTCTGTATTTTTTTTTATGAGAGAGAGACTCGTTGTAAAGAATGGCAAGCCTAACCTGAAGCTAGTCACACCAGCCAGAAACATGGTAAAAACCCTTCAACTCTTGTTCCTAAGCACCGCCCTGTCATTGGTGTCCCCTCTAAAATGCCCTCACACTTCTCTCCCTCACGACCACTGCCCAGTTCAGTCCCTTAGCAGCTCTCTCCGACTTGCCTTTTTGCTCAGTTCTGCAGATGGTCCTCTGCCCAGCCCACACTCTCCACTGGACCTCAGAACTTTTGCTAAAACAAAATTCTGACTAGGTCTCTTCTTGGCCTAAACGCTTTCAATGGCTCCTTTAACTGCAAGAAAGAGTGCACGAGTACTCACCTACTATTGAATTTTGGTCACCAAACTCCAAAGCAGATAAGTGGGTTCAGGCACTTGAGTTACAAGGACTGAAACAGAAAACTTCACAGCATCCCAGGACGCCATCACCGGAGAGGAGACGTGGGAGATGACGTATGGGAGAAGGAGCCACGCTCAAGGTCACAGTGGCACTCAGAGGCAGAGTTGAGACTAGCTAGCACTCAGCATTCATGATGATAGCTGGCCAGCAACTTGGGCTCGGTTCTTGCTGAAGGCAAACCCAAGCTCACTTGAAATGTTGAGCAACTTGGCTCCCTTCTGTGTGACTGTCTTGTCTGTCCCACTGTGACCTTCTTGCCAGTGTAGAGCCTGGCGCCCAGGAGGACTCAGTAAGTGCTTTACTGGTGATCCACAGACCAGGAGATCCTGGGAGTCAGAACAAGGGAACGGTTTATGCCTTCTCTCTCTCCCTACATGTTTTCCTTCTGTCTCTCAGAGCTGGGGAGAAAAAGACCAGTGCCTAGAGATCGCAAGCCCCTTTGGAGAAACCAAGGGGCAAATTGGAGTGGGGGGAGGATTGTGAAAATTGGCACAAAGTGTTAGTGATCTCTACCATGTCAGTTGGCTCTGCCCCACCCAGTGAAACAATCACAACCGTCACAGCACTAGCAGCTTCCCCCATCATGTGGGTGCTCTGGTCGATGCTTTAAATGCATTGTTTCCCTTTCTGCCCACAACTGTGGTGACCGTTGCAAGATGGTACAACACATATGGGCACCCTCCAATCAGGACAGACACGTGACAGAGAGCAGGTAGAATGTTCTTTTCATACCAGGATGTCCGCAAAGTGAACATTTGTCTTCTGCTCAGCCACTCTCGTTTTACAAATAAGGAAATAAATGACTCGGTTTACCCAGGATCACAGATATCGCTGACTGCAGAACCAGCTGCATCCTCACCAGTAGGCATACTGTCCCTCTGGGCATTTGGTTGTGCTTGACCTCACCAGCCTGCATCAGGGCCCTCCTCTCTCGCTTCCTCCTCCACACTGTCACTTGCTTTCTCATACCCTGCTTCCTCCAGGGTAGATAGTAACATAAAAGGGCACAGGAGAAGCCAAAAT